CTCAACACCTTTCATGCCCATTAAAGAACTCATTTCTGTGTGGACTGTTCTGGAAAACGTTGATTAAAGGCACAAAAGATGTAACTTTTCAGTTACCACGGGCTCTTAGGCTAAGGAAATAACTAATCTTTGGCGGCCATTTTCTCACTAATTTTACCACTGAAAACCGGTGACCCCCACCTCCTTCATTCTCAAATATATCGACTTGTATTTAAGATAAATGGATATTATTTCATAAAAATAAAGACAAGTGAACAAGCTTTCAGATTATACCAATAACTCGATGTGCCCAAAAATTGACGAGAGCCTGAATCCACCACGCTGCCTCACATATACATTTCGAAGATTAGAAGCGTTGCTAGAAAGTAACATACAACAGAACAGAAGAAAGAAAGATAAGGGCGATTGATGTTTGATAGCAAAGAAGGAGCAAACCATACCAGAGCACCCCCCTCCCCAACCCACAAACCGATAGATCTTTGATAGAGAAGAAAGATCAAACCACACCAAAACATCCGCTAACCACCCAGTGATAGATGTTTGATAGAGATCAAAGACTAAACCACACCAGGGCACCCACCAGCCACCCACATACGCTATTTAAGAGAGGAAAAAATCTTCGATTACAGAGAGTCACAGCTTTACTTCTCTTTTCATATTGAATGTTAATGAGAGTAATACATAATTCAAATTTTTTTTTATGTATACCTGCATGTGGTTTTACGGTCCTGTACAGCCCAAAAAAAATTCCCTCTGGGATAATGAATCATTATCTAATCTTATCCTATCTTATAGTTAGAGAACGTTAGGAGTACGTCATTGGCCGATATTTATAGTAACATCTTGTTTGACCTATTCTTTAACATACATAATATTATGAGCATTATCATAACACTTTACTAAAGTGAAGGGGGGGGGGGAAGCTTTCTTTTTTTACTCCTCTTTTTCTTTCAGATTAGACAGTGAGACAGTAGGTCTGGAACTTCTTTTGTCTTTTGTCAGAATGAAGAACACTATTTTATGACACAAACAAGATGGCTGTTACTATAAATATCGGCCAATGGCGTACTCCTAA